GACCTTAGAAATCTTTGTCATTATTGAAAGTTATAGTCTAATTTCCCTCTTATTATCTTTAATTATTTCAGTCTCTCTCAACTCTATATTGCTAAGGTGAATTAAAGTGAAATTTTACTTATCAATTCACTGTAATAATATAAAGATAATATAATAACTAATTAATTATAACTTATAAAATTTTAAAGTTATAATATATTATAATAGATAATAAATAAATATTATATATTTGCTATATTATTTTTAATAGTATATATATATATATATATTATATATTTATATATTATTTTAAGTATATATATATATATTTACTATTTTGAAATAATAAATCAATTTTCTGCTAAATCTGATTTTTGAAATAATATTTATATATTTATATTATTTATATATTAAAATATATATATGTATATATTAATATATATATCAAAAAATAAAAAGATAAAGATATATATATTAATATTTTTTTATTTTTTCTTATATTATATAACAAATATTCATAATATAAAATATGATCATTATTTTTTACTTATTTTACATACTCTATTTATAAATGAATATGAGTATAAAATAAAGTTATACAATTACATTTAAACTTGAAATAACTTTATATACAGAAGCTATATTTAACTATTATATTTCTTTATATTACAAAATTGATCAGAAACAGATTCAAGAATAATAATAATAAAAAAGAATTTAAACTATAAAAAATGATAAAAGTTTAAGTATTAACAAAATATAAATTCTCAATGCCTGTGATCAAAAAGTAATGTATTCTAGTTTGAAAGAGAAATTATTGGAGTTTGTCAAAAGAAACAGGAGATAAAATACATAGTTATAACACTTATATTTGTTAAAAAAGCCTAAAGATTTGAAAAAATCTCTAGATTTTAGAGATATTAAGTTTTTCATGAGTGGATTAAACATTTTAAGCAATGTTATAAATTAGTATAATATGATCAAACAAAAATTTTCTGAAGATATATCTCTAATCATCAAAGGTTTTTTTAATCTTTGCATGAAAAAATATACAATATGATAAAAATATATATTCTTTGTTTGATAAATGTTATGTTCATATGGTTGACTATGACACAGAATTCGACAATTGATTTTCAAGGTATTTGTGAGATGCCTGATATGACTATGAGCTATGTTTTATGGTAGTTTTGGAGTGTACAGCTTCTGGGGAAAAACTTTCATCACCAGTAATTTATAAATTAAAAAAACTAAAGATAAATTTTCATGAGACATTGTAATAACTACTGCACTCTATGCAAATATGATAGGAGATATAATGATTTTCGCTTACATTTCACAAGTTATCGAGTAACCAAATGGATTTTTTTAGAAATAAAGGTGTAATTTTCGTTGATGCTCTTTGCAGCCATATTCATGATGATATAACTATGGTTTTGAATACAGAAGGCTTGGATGTCTTAAAAATACCTAGTGAAACAACTAACATTTTGAACTACCAAATGTTTCAGTAAACAAGTGAATGAAAAGAAGATGGGAAGAATGGATGGTTGAAGGAAAAAAAAAATTTACTAAAAATGGAAATTTTAAAAAAACACCATATAAGCTGGTTTGCAAATGGGTGTCTGAAACACGGAAGGAAATTAGTAAAAATCTCTTGATTAAATCTTTCGATGCAACTGGACTTACAATTAAACCTGATGGTAGTGAAAATTATAAGATATCAAGCCATCTTCAAGCCATTGTTGAAAATCGTATAAATGGATTAACAACCGAAGATGTTTTTCAAGAAACGAATTGAATTATAAGGAACTGGATGATGCTGAACCAGATGATAATAAAATCTGATGATATGATTTGGATCTTAAAATATGATGACACAACACTTTGGGAAATTTAAAAAAAATCATAATAAACATTCTTTTATTAATTTAGTTTAGGTTAATAACGAATTTTTTTGTAATTGGACTGTGTGTCGAGACCAATTTTATATTAAAAAAATATAATTTATCGAATTTTATCAATGTTATATAGGGATGCGCGCGTTATTTCGGGACACCCATGGGCGTTATTTTGAAACCATGTTTGTTATTTTTGTAGGGTATGATTTTCGAAATAACGCTCATGAGCGTTGTTTCGCGAAAATATGACATAGATAATCAAAGAAAGATTGGGAAGGAATTGGCTAAGTCTTGGTTTCAATAACGACGTACAGATAGTAATAACTATACCCGTGGAATTTATTGAAAATGCAAAAGCAACTATGCGAAAATGTGCATTTGATGCGGGATTGATAAATAAAAAAGATTCAGAAAACTGACATTCACAACAGAACATAAATTAAAAAGATTCTGCTTGTTATTTTGAAAATTAACATTTAATTTTAATAGCGGAAGCAGCGGAATTATATGTTTACATTATGTTGAGACTTATAAATTAATAAATCACGGTAATTTTAGTAACAAATACGAAGCAATAAATATTCTATACAATATATCAATATTATTAGTGTATTATGACTGTGGAGGTGAAACAGTAGATTTTAACAACGCGAACATTTATTGTCAGGAAATCAGACTAGTGAAATTACTGTACGTACGGGGAATTATTGTGGGGGTGTTTATGTTGATATGTAATTAACAAAGCGTCTACATGTACATGTATTTGGCTTTAAAAATAATTATATCCAAACATTAATTTTCGGAATTGATGGAATGAGAGCAGTTCTAAGTCTAAAAAATAACCATTATAATCAATTTAATATACATGTATATTTACGACAAATAAAAATATAATTTAATGGTAATCGAAATGATTATAAAACAAAAATATTAAAATCGACGAACGTTGGCCAGTAGCGAAACAATTCCTCATTAATACCAGAACAAGAGAAAATCAATAGTAAATTTTTCTCGACTTTGACATGATAAAATCAATGTTCGAGTCAGTTTTAATACGATTATCAGCTTGATTCAGAAACAGATAGACGCGGCCACCAGCTAAATGTCAGACGATTTTCTTATGCGGAGGTTTTGAGAATCACTGCTACTGCTATTGTTCGTGGCGCTGTTTTAGTAAGTCTTTTATATAATTTATTTTCTATTACTATTATTGATGTCTAACTAGCTCTATAATTTTAAATTTATTAGTATGGTAAGTGTAAAAGGCCAGATGGTTGTGTTAGAACATTCGACAAATTATCAGCGCGTAGAGAGAAAGATGTCAATAAAGAATATAAAAAACATATATCACAACTCATCCGATGAATGTTAGTTTTCCTGTGTATACTTTAAGCAACGAAAAATGAGATTTATTGTGATGAATTGAGGCGATTAGGAGAATTAGAAATTGGTTGGTTTTTTGATTTATATACCAAAATAATCAAATTGAAAAACAATTGATATTTTCATCGTATCTCCGAATAAACTAAATTAAGAATTTATCTATTTAAATTTATTACTTTTATTAATGCTATTCCAAATCCTCGGGATATAGAATTTTCTTTATTTTTTGGTCAGATGAATATTAAAACTATGGCAAGGATTTTAGAAACAAATCTGCAATCATTACAACACTTAAGTTCGATCAGGATTAAAAAGAATCAAATTAATTACATTAGAAATGGAACACGGAAAAAAAATCGGCGAGATACGAATATCTCGCCATGAAGAATTACGTGGAAACAAATGTAAGTGAATTATATTCGTTAATATTACGATTATTGATATTAACAATGTTTTTTTGTAGAAGTTACATAAACAAAAATTAACCAACTTTTTTGAAATTTTTTAGCGTTCCGCATAAATTGCCCGATTTCGAGGACGAAATTCAAAGGAAGGGTTCTTTTTATTGAACTATTATCAAGCTAAAAAAAATACTAACTAATGAACTACAATATTATATTATCATTTCGTATAACCACCCTTTGCCTTTATAACATTATTCACACTTTTTGGCATTGAAGAAACCAACCATTCACAGAAGTCTGCTTCGATGCCATTCCACGTGATCCGGCTTTGTCCACAAATCATCTTTGCTTGAAAACGGGTCAGGAAGTTGCCGCAACCGCTGGTCAATCTCATTCCAAAGATTTTCGATGGGGTTCAGGTCAGGAGATTGAGCTGTCCAATCAAGCAAATCTATTCATTATCAAGGAACCAAACTTGCGCTTTTTTTGACATATGTTTAGGATCGATATCTTGCTGATAAAAGATTTCTTTACTCAGCCCTTTTGCCGATAGTAAACCTAATAGATTCTCATTAAAATATCAACATAAATGTCAGCATTCATTTTTATATCAATTTTTTTAAGTTGTCCCACCACTTCGGCATACATACATCCCCAAACTATTATAGTACCACCACCAAACTTCATTGTAGGGATAATTTGGCATTAATTTAATTGTTCATTGGCCTTCAATCACAGTACTTTACAGTTATCCGATCCAAAAAGCTGGAAATTGCTTTTATTGGACCAGAGGACTGATCTCTAATTGTCAACTGGAAAATCTCAGTATTTCTTCACCTAAGCAAGCTGCCATTTTCAGTGTCTTTTTAAGTATTGGCTTTTTGCATTTAATTTTTGAGAATAGACCATTTCTCTGGAATATTTGCCATATGCTCTCTATGGAAATATCAATCCCAAGATCAGATTTAAGTTTGATTTTGATTTCTACAATGGTAGAACACTATTCAGTTATTAACAACCAGATAGCATACCTTTCATAGCGGTCAGTTAGAAGACGTGGACAACCAGTTTTTTCTAGATTATCAAAGATTCTGGTTTCTTTCTTTTTTTTGCAGCTGATGCAAGGCCCACCTGCTCTGAAGCAACAATTTCCCCTACCAAATAATCTTCTTCTCATAATGTGAATATTCGTGAGTATTTTTCTTGAGAGATTCAAGCATTTTTCAAATAAAATGTGGTTAGAATTGTTATTTAGAATAGTTAAAAAGTACTTTTACAAAAATTAAAGTAATAAAAAGAGCTTTTATACTTATCTTTGCTATTTCTAATTACTTATACAAGTCAGTTGTATTATGTGGAATGCTAAAAAAATTTAATAAAATTATTAGGAAATGATAGATGAAAATAAAATCTGTATTAGTTGATATGCATGATTTTAATGAATATAATTCATTTACTTTTATTTTCATGTAATTCTTCAATAGCAAGATATTTGTATTTTTTTCCGTATTCTATTTCTTAAGTGAGCTACTGTAAATATTTCATTTGTTTAATTTATTATGTTTAAGATTTGACTTTAGTACTTATCACTAGTGAAGAAAGTGTGTTATAGATTTCCTTTTAATTAGAGAATTTGTATAATAAAATTAAATATTTAAGAAGATGTCGACAGTTATTTGTAAAGGTTGAGTCTGATATTTCTATAATATCCTATTAATCTTATATATCTATTAATATAATTTATTTGAGACTAGCTGGACTTGCATTTTCAGTGCTATAATCAGGCTTGCTTTACTGATTTTATGTCATGAATTTTTAATATATGTGTAAGATTATTTTGTTAATGTTTGTAAACAAGATAAAATGCGATATGAATAAGTTTTAATTTTATTTTATAACTTA